ATGGCCAGCACCAACTTCGGCCGCACCACAGGTTGGTCCGGTGCCTGCTCCAGCACTGGAACGGATTCTGCAGCCACGCCAGGGTCCGCCTCCCCGTCTCCTTGAGGAACGTCCTGCGTGCCTTCCGCCATCTCTCTCACCCCAGGAACGGGGACAAAAGGAAAGCTAGATGAAAAGGAGTGCTGACTTACTGTCAGAGTATCCGCTGTCGTCCATGAATGAAGAGACAGGAACGCTGAACTCGTCAAAAGGTTTATTCTTCAGATGAAACAAAGTCAGCACTGGGAGTGGCTTTCTCCCAGTGCCCTATAAAGGTTTGCCACACCCTGTATCCCCGCCCCCAACCCCAAACTAACATCCACTCGAGCCGGATAAAGGTCCCATCTGCTCCCTGTGCCCTCCCTTTCACCAGCATGACTCCACCTCCGTGCTTCCCAGTCCGCGCAGACCCCTGTGTGCAGCCAACAAGCTCCGCCCGCTCCTCGTCCGATCGGCCCGGTAAGGTTTTCCCACCCCCTACGCTGTCCAAGACCGCCTGTAGGGCCGCCTCAGAGTTCCGACAATCCCCCGCGCTCCGCAGCATCGGCTCAGGAAATGGCAGCCTGCTCCGGTTCTGCGCCGGCGCGTCGGCAGTCTCCTGTGTCTCCGTTGGCGACCGTCCATCGGCAGACGTTGGGTCCACGCTCTGCCTTGCTGTCATCTACGTCTGCACGACTGCTGCAGTATGCGAGTCCTGGGACCGGGTCCGTTTGGTCTGGGCAGCAGCCGTATTGATGGGCGGCATGGCGGGTCTCGGCAGTGGTGAGCTGTTGTGTGCACCCCCCCTTCCCCAGTTACATGGCAAGCCCCCGGAGGCTTGACACTAGGTTTTTATTTATGAATTTTTCCATTTCCTCCTTCTCTTTAGGGCTCATAGATATAGTCTGGGCTTTGGGAGTTTTGCCCCGGGCTTGAATTCCATGGTACAATCCGTGGGTCGGTGAAGGGGAAGCTCATCCGCCCGCTCTTCACTGAAAACTTCAGCAAGGTCTCAGTATTCCTCTGGTATTTTGGGTAGCCCCTATTCCTCTCCCATAATGCTTTCTCCGTTCCTAAGTTTGGTAGGGCTCCTTGGGGTTTTAATTTCGCACAATCCTCTTTCAGGAAATTGAGTTCTGCCGTCCTCCAATTTACCCAGGGGTTCCATTTCTTTAACCATTCCAGCCCTGGGATCACTCGGCATTTCATGCCTGGGGTCACTACAAATGTTATGTCTTCCTCATGGTTCCCCAGGGATAAGTGGACTGGTAAAGTGGCTAGGGTAGCTGGCACCCCCCCTGCTATGGATCCATCTAACTGGACAAATGAGATTGGTTGTTTCAGCCTCCTCACCAGGATGCCCAAGTTCCCCACTAGTGTCGGGCTAATGAGGCAGCGCGTGCAGCCAGAGTTTATTAAGGCTTTCACTTTGACAGCTTCAGGCATGGAGGGGGCTAATATAGTCACTGTCTTGAGGATGGGTGTGATGGGTCCACTTACCAAGGGTTCGCCCTACGCGCTGACATCCGAGGTGTCCACCGCCCCTGTGGTGTAGGCCGGAGTTCCCTCCCCACGCTTGTCAGGGGGTGGGGACTCCACAGCCTCTGTCGCCCTCATGGCAGGCTCTCTTGGGTTGGCTGGGGACTTCCCTGATTTCCTGGCCGGTGATCAGTCAGGGTTGCGCTGAGGGGCTTTCGAGCGGCATTCTACTGCGCGATGCCCCTCTCTCCCGCATTTGAAACAGCCCGTTGACTTCTTGGCCATAGCCGGTGGTTTCACTGGCTCACGCATTCACTCAGGAAGCGAGCGGCCCCATGCTTTTCCTCGGCGGATGCCTCTTCAGTAGGTTGATCTCTGCTTCCTCTGCCAGGATGTACCATTCGTCGAGTTGGCATAGGTCCCCTCAAAGCAGGCAAGCATCATATAGGTTGTAGTTTAGGCCATCTTTGAAATGGCTAAGGAGGATGTCTTCCGGCCAGTTCAGTTTGTTGGCGATGGCTCGGAATTCTTGTGTATATTCGGCTACCGGGCATCTGCCCTATCTCATCATTTTGATTCTCTAGCGGGCCTTTTGATCACCCAGGGGGTCCTCGAATCACCTTCTTAGAGAGGACATGAAGCGGTTGAAGTCGTAGAGCTCTGGGGCGTTAGAATCATACAGGTTCACCATCGTGCAGATTGCACGATACGCATGAGGGCTTTGTTGCTGGGGATGTCCCGTCCATATTCTTCCATGTAGTTAAGGACTTTGGTTAGGAAGAACCCCAAGCATGGCTCCCCCCTGAATTTCACGTCCAGCAGCGGGAATCTTTGGATGGATCAGTGCCTTTGCTGTCGATGGTATTGTCTCCCATCCTGATTGACATTTGCGGGTTGGAGGGGAGTGGGGGCTACCGAAACGGTAGTTGCTGTCTCTGCGGACGTCCCCGGGGCTAGTTTCCGATTCCCCCTCAGTGTCTCTCCGGTTGTAGCCCAAGGTATTGGTGCGGCCCCAGGATTCAGGGTGCTCCTCTATGAGGGTTCTTTTCATCAGGTCAATAGCTTTCTCTAGGATCCAGTTCGAGTGCTGCTTGCGACCTTCTTCCTCTTCGCTAAAGTGTCCCCAAGCAAACCCCATCCCACAGTTCATCCAGATGGCTCAGACCAGCCAATCCCCAGGTGTTAAGTCCATCGTGGGAAAGGGGAGATAACATTGGTCCGGCTCCAGTCGTAGGACGATGTTCAAGCAGCTCTTCGCACCTCCTTTTGAGACTGGAGAAATAAGCCAGACTCTGGAAGTTGTATTTCTCCCCCCCCCCCTTTCCTAGCTGACAGGTTAGAGAGAAGAAAGTTCTGAGAAAGATGCGGTGTAGGAAGCAAATTGTTACACTGTAGCGGGCAGCGGACACAGAGGCAATAACAAAATAAAAGGTTACATTGTAGCGAATAGAGGAAGTGAAAGCAATAACCCCACAGGCATATCCCCCCTCCCTCTTGGGAGTATGGCAGAACCCAGGAAAAAGTGAGGTTTGTTTTTAGATCAGAGGAGATAGATAGAAATGAAATAGAAATGGGTTCTGACAGCCCCAATATCCCATAACTGCCATGTGAAATTTCCCCTGCTGCTTTCCCAAGAAAATCAGTGGGGAAATGAGTCACTGTGATAAGTCTCTCCCATCTGCACAACCTCCTTCAGGCCCTTTATGTTCAGACCACACTGGCCACTCCCACCTCTGCACTGTACCCTCATGCACTTTATTTGACCTGTGCCAGACTCCATGAACTGATTTGCACTCCCGCAATTCCTCCTCGACCCATGCCATGCTTTTTGTGTACCACACACACTTCCCAACCCATGCTATACCCTCATGCACCCTTCCTGCACTTCTTTTGCAATGTCTTTGCACTCTGCTTCACTTTCATATACCTTCCAAGATTTCACCCACCCTCACAATACCCTTTCACTCCACAACCCAGCAGAATCCTGACACACACACCTGCCTATCTGGATCTTGCAACTTCCTGCTTACTTTTCACTTTTGCACTGTTTGTGGGAAAGCTTAGCCATTGCCAAGCAACACATTTCCATTGACTTTGGTCCTGTGAAACTGGTAAGAAATTGCCTCACCTAATTGTAGAATTCTGTTTATGATGGCAACAGGACTGCAGGGATTGCTGTCACTAAGTATGTGGTAGCGCTTTTTAATGGCATTCCTTAGCAATGGAAATTCCAGTCCTAATTGCCATCATAAGTCAAAGACTAGTTGTATTTCTGTTTGAAAAGAAATTGTTCCAAATACCTTGAAACAGATCTGCACAGCATCTCATTAAATTGGGCCAACCCCAAAGATATTTAATAATTATAACTAACATATGAGATAACCCTTCTTCAAATAATATACATAATCAAATAGTGGCATTTCCACTAGAGCAGTGGTTCTCAACCTTTTTAATGCCGCGACCCCCCAACCGGTCGTAAGTCGAGGACTACTCAACTGGTTGTAAGTCGAGGACTACTCAACTGGCGCAGCACCGTTTGCAGAATGGGACTTTTGGCGGGCTCAGCAGGGCAGAGACAGCCTGGACAATTCCTATTGGCTTTTGAAAGCCAATAGAATTAGACTCTATTCAAGAGAGTCTATTCTATTGGCTTTCAAAAGCCAATAGAATAAAAGGGAGTAGCACAGCTAAGGAAAAGGGGGGGAAAATGGTGGACTGCGTTGCTTGGCGACCCCCATGAAATGGTCGTTCGACCCCAAATGGGGTCCCGACCACAGGTTGAGAACTACTGCACTAGAGGGACTTCAACTGAAAAACATAATACATTTTAATGAAATTTTAAACCACCTTTCAATAAAGAACTTACAAAAGTTGTTTTACTGGTAGTGCTATTTTTTTCTGATCTCTCAAGAGAACATTCTGGATAAGTCTAAATGGGTGGCAAGTGTAATGACTTTGCTCTACCTGTAGAGTGTGTTTCAGAAGAAGTACTGAAGAATTCTGTTCAAAGTCCAAAAACTTCTGTTCTGACGTTCCTGAAGTATGTATTTATCACCCATGGTTTTAAATATGTAAAAGTACAAAACAATTTTGATATCCAAACTAACTCCCTATTCCACCAAAGTACTAGAAAGTTGACTTTTTTATTCTAATAATTAATATTCCATGTTTGTAATAAATGTTTGCTTTAGCACATAAGGTATTAATGTCTTTAGTGTCTTTAAGAAACCTGCCTTGTCAATTGGCAAATGCCCAACTTAGATTTGCAGGTAATCAGAATTCCTTACATCCATATTTGTCACTTTTGGTTCATAATATCCTGTAACAGTTCTGATACATTTATTCTAATAAAACATTCAGGCTGCTGTAAACTTTTATTCCTTATTTCATTCCAGATACTTAAAATCCAGAGAATAGACATCACATAATTTGTTTTCAGGACATATAATTTTTCCACAATTTTTTGGCTTTAGAAAAAGATTGAATTTTTTTTAAAACCTTACCTGAATGGTTTTGAGAACTCATTGCTAGCAGAATCTAATCTCTTTAATGAAGTATGACAAAGGCTGGCTTCCACATAGACAATAATCTTGAAGAGCTTCAGTATTCCAGAACATAAAAAGTATATCCAGGAAGCAGATTCATACTCATTAGATAAACTTTCAGTCAGAAAAACATTTTATTATGTAAAATAGTGCAATCCAGAAGAATAGTAGCTTGTATACCTGTAAAAAAAAGTATACCTGTAAAAAAAAGTCTTATACATTTGAATGCTTACACAAAGAAAGATTCGTATTCAAGAAGCAATGCCATCATAAATAAAGTATAAAGATAATACCGGTAATCAGATAGAAAGTACTTGCATCCCTCCCTATACATTCTATTTTTCTTTTTCTCTTGGTCTTTCAGAATATGCCATGCTTTAATTACTCTCCCTCAATAAGAAAGAGCAGCATTGGAAGGGCCTGTCACTAGCCAGTATTTTCTTTCAATGGGGTATTTTTTTGTATCTCGGTTATTCTTCCTGTTCAAAACAAAACAAATTATAGTTAAGTGCCTAGCCTTCCTTAATTTGTAACCTTCAGACGCTATTATCAATAGTCACGAAGATGCAAAATTAAAGAAAATGATTTTTTAAAGTAATATTTTCAAGAAAAGGGATTTGTCCTGGAAAAATAAACAAAAGTTATTTTATTTTATAATAGAGTTATTTCTCTATTATTTGAAATAATTATATGATATTGTATTGTATTGTATTATACTCCATGAACTGTTTGTATATATTAATACTGTTATAGAGCAATATGCTTTTTTCCCTTTTTTGTAAAGATATTTTTTATACAGTGAATGACATGAAGCAATAAAGCACATTTTCTCACATTGGTGTTGACTGCTCTATTTGGTAATGGCCTCAAAAATTTATCTTGTAAAAACAATATATACAGATTTCTTTTAATTGCTGATTGCCTGTCTTAAGGCGGTAGTGTCAACCAACCTTGGTTGATCTTGGAGACATTAGGCTAAATTGAGAAAAACTTTTAAAAAATGGAACAAGATGGTGATTAATCACTTTTGCATTGTTGCCAAGAAAAATCAAGGATGAGATTGTGAAATCCGAAGATAATGAATCAACTGAAAGAATTCTTCTTAAAATGTCCACATCATAGGGATGTTTGTATTGTAATTACCTTAGTATGTACTCTGTAGAAGAGCAATACACAATGGCACAATGTAAATAATTATTTAGTTGATGTGTATGTGCTGTATTTCATTCTTACAGCATACTGCCATAACATTGTGCCAATAATTAATGTTAAATAAATCCTAAAATAACTTGTTTTTTTTCTAGGACAAATCCATTTTCTTCAAAATATTACTTTAGAAAAATCATTTTCTTTAATTTGGTATCTTGGTGACTAGTGATTATTAAATATATTTTATCAGAATGGAAATAGGTGCCTCTTCTGTATTTGCTTTATTAGAATTTTAAAAAGGAAAATTAAGTTTCATGAAGATCACCTGTTTTCACTTGATGTCTTGCAATACACAGCTTTAACTATTTTCTCATTTTAGGAATATCTGTACTTTTTGTAAGCAGTTAGTTCAGACATTATTTATATTTTCATCTTTTTTTTTCCATCTTTCATTACCTCTAAAACTATTCAGTGTGGTATAGCAGTTTAAAGTGCTAGACTAGACCAGGGAAATCCTGTGCAAATGCAGATATAAAAATTCCCTGTTTACTCTGGGCTACTCATTTTATTTCAGTCCAATGTACAGAACTTTACAGGGAAGGAATAAAATACTGTCTTGAGTTCCTAAAAGAAAGGCAGGAAAGAAATCAAATAAATTACCACTATACTCCCTCATTCTCCTCACAATAATTGGCATAATTGTATAATCTGCAAATCTTCATTCCCATCCTGGTCTGCTATTTTTTCCTTTGCATTCTGCTTTTTTTTGGCTCATTCTCTATTATATATTTCTTTCTGGGCTTTTGCCAGCCCTTCCCCTTTGTCCTAATTTAATGCCCCCCTATCAGCCCTCCATAGGATATCAGGGATTCCAGGGATTTTCTTTATTGTAATAAGGAAGAATGGCAAAATCTTGAAATCCTGTCCAAGTTTCCCTGTGCCTAAACAATATCAAGATGGAGATTGTTTTCTCAAACATTCCCTTTATCTCAGGACTGTCTAATCTTTTTTCAAAGTCTCTCCTTAAAGACTCATTCATTCTTTGCCTCTTAACAGCATTCTTATGCCTTCCCCAAGGTTAATTTCATAAGCCTTTACACACATGCTTTTATCAGAATCAACCCCTCATCCCATATATGACAGGTCCAGCATTTTATCAAGGACAACGGCAGAGAATCACTTCTTATATGATGTTGTTTTCCTGGTCAAATTGTCAAAAATGAGCTAAATCTTAGCATGATTTTAAACTAATTAATTAACAATGGGTCATTGCCCTCAATGAGGGACAAAAGATCAAAAATCACCTTAGTGCAGTGGTTCTCAACCTTTCTAATGCCGTGACCCCATAATACAGTTCCCCATGTTGTGGTGACCCCCAACTACTTATACATCGCCTGGTGCCAGGGGCGTGGCCAAGTGGGTGTGGCCACCAAGTGGGTGTGGCCACCAAGTGGGTGTGGCCACCAAATTGTGGTGACCCCCAACCATAAAATTATTTTAGTTTCTATTTCATAACTGTAATTTTGCTACTGTTCTGAATCGCAGTGTAAATATCTGATATGCAGGATGTATTTGCATTGGAAATAATTAAGGTATAGTGATTAATCACAAAAACAATATGTAATTATATATTGTTAAATATTTATTTTTAATTACAAAAAAATGAAATTTTGTGTTGAAGCATGGTGTAGCATGGGTAACATTCTTAATATAACAACACTAAACTACATTGCTACATTTTTCAACAGTATGCGCAAAAAGCCAACATCAGTGTGAAGGTTGAGGTTGCTTATTTTTCACCAGATCACAAATTCTCGGGGCAGTCTTTGCAAGAGTACACCGAAGATCATCTTCCACAACAAGTCTATTTCTGTATTTAGACTTGATAACCAACAAGCTGGAAAACCCTGTTTCACAAAGATATGTTGTTGGAAATGGAAGGTGCAACACAGTCTCAGACAGAACAGGATATGACTGCAAACATTTGATCCAGAATTTTGTAACTGGCATTGTGGAGAAATCAGTTCTCGCTGCATCACTGTTAATAAGTTCAATGAACTCCTCTTGTGCTGTCTCAGGAACATTTTCAACGTTGACTGTGAATGGGCTTCTGGCAAGTGCAAATGGGGTGTCAGGTAGATTTGGAAAGTACGATGAGGTTTCATGTGCAAGCATGCGCAGGTGTTCTTTAGCAGAATTTATCAACGTAATCCTGTTGTCTGGTTCAATGTCATGTTCCTCAAAGAAAGCAGATAAGGTAGGCAACATGAAAATTTTATTTTCATCCAATTTTTTTTGCCAAAGCTGCAGTTTCATTTGGAATGATCGGATCTTTTCAGACAAATCAAGGCACGTTGCATTTGGTCCTTGCAATGATAAATTTAACTCATTCAAGATGGCAAAGATGTCAGCCAAGTAAGCTATTTTCTGCAGTTCGCTGTTATCGCTGAAAAGAGCTTCAAACTGCGGTCTTGCTTTCTGAATAAAAAACATTTTGAGTTCATCACAAAGCTCAAAAACATGTTTTAAAACTTTTCCTTTTGACAACCATCTCACTTCAGTGTGAAATAGCAGAGCATTGTTTGGCGCATCCAACTCATTGCACAGTTGTGAAAACAATCGTGTTTAAGCTGCTTCCCTTTACAAAGTTGACACAATTTATGACGCTTTTCATTACTTCTCGTAATTCTTGTGGCAGTGTCTTTGTTGCTAATATTTGCCGATGAATCATACAGTGAGTTCCGATGACTTTTGGTGACTCATTCAGTACCAAACGTTGAAATCCAGATCTACATCCTAGCATAGCTGGAGCACCATCTGAGCGAACACCACAAACCTTTTCCCAAGATATGTTACGTTCTTTCAGAAATGAACCAACTGTGTCAAATACATCATGTGCAGTAGTTGTTGTTTCAAGAAGTTTGCAAAACAGAAACTCGTCTTTAAAGTTGCCATTGTTAATATACCTCACGTAAACCAGTAACTGGGAACAATTTGCAAGGTCTGAGATTCATCAAGCTGGATACTAAATATTGGAAGTGGAGCAGATTTAATTTCTTGGATTATCTGATCAAGAATATCAGCAGACATGTCATCTATTCTTCTGAGGACAGTGTCATTGGACAAGGAAACTGCATTCAATTTCATCACAAATTCGTCTCCGATCATAACTTGAACAAGGTCTTTGGCCGTTGGCAACAGTAACTCCTCTGCGATAGTGTGAGGCTTATTGGCTCTGGCAATTCTGAGTGCCACCAAATATGACCCTTCAAGGGCCGCTACATTTTGCTTGTGGTACTTGCCACCAGTGTCAAGTCTGCCTTTCTTCAGTCCATCAGCTTTGGATCTGAAATAGTTTGTGTCCTTGCCAGCATAGCTTGAATGCTTGCCCTCAAAATGGCGTTTTAAGTTTGTTAGGCTTCATTGATTCTGCTGATAAAACTTCGGAACAAAGTACACACTGCGGTTTCTTGATTCCCACTGTATATATAGACGTGAAGCCATATTGTAGGAAATCCTCACTATATTTCCTTTTCCCGATGTTCTTCGGATCCATTGTCTTGAATGGTTTGCTAGTGAAAACATGTAACAATAGCTCCAATAATACAAAACATGACATATGGCATAGTTCATTAAAATTTCCTATGATTTACCATTCTCTGTGCTGTTCTATTTACAAACCCAGTGTTTCTCAATCTTGACAATTTTATGGCATGTGGACTTCAACTCCCAGAACTTCACAGCCAGCAATCACCAACTCCATGGGAGGAGTCTTACTCCTTTTGTGGAAAATCAACTCTACTATCCTGGGAAAAAAACCAGGCTCATGCAATTCAGATTTTTAGCCAGAGATCTGAGACCATGAGAAAACACAAGTCCATATTTAGGTGGCCACATAACTGAGTATTCATCATGATTTGGGAGCCCAAGATGCACCACCCAATCTCAGGGAGGGTAGGCAGAATCTGCCCAGTATTTGCTGAAATACATTGCACTCAGATTTCATTCTGGGAATGAAATATTAAAAAGGA